CCGGGTCCCCCCTTCATGCAGGCCCCACGTCCCATGGTGGCGCTGGGACGGCCATGTGAGTTATTTCAAATCCTTTCAAAGGGATCGTTAACAGGGATCATCTACAGACAGGGCAGGAAGAGAGCGATGTCACATCGTGCAGCATCAAGGGTCAAAAAGTTAGTCTGGATTCAAGCCTGAGCCAGCTGCACCTCTGGGCCGCTCTCCCTCCTGGCTCCACCCTCGGGGCGGAGCCTGCGCAGACGGAGCTCCACCCCTGCGCAGACCACGCCCACCAGGCTGAGAAGGCCTCCAGGGAGAGAGGTCCCCGCCTCAGGTCCCCAGGCCAGCCCCACTGACCCCAGGAGGCAGACTGCCCCCGGGGGACAGAAAGCAGCCCTCTCGCCTCGCATCCAGCCTGGTGGCCAGGCCTGAAAGGCACAGCTTTCCTCGCAGGTTTTCGAGGTCTGGAAGGACAGACCGGCATCCACCCACCTCTAGGTCCCACCGCAGCCTGGGCGCCACTGAGACCCACGTCCCAAGGATGAGGGGACACCATCCGGGGAGAGTGCCCGGTGCTTCCAGGACTGCCTTCCAGGAGGACCGAGCAGTGGCAGCAAGGCTGGCCTCCAACGCCCGCTTCCTTGGTCACTGCCTGGCCTCAGTTTCCCCACCCTTAAAGGGAGGTGGCTTCTCTGTGTGCTCCTCAACCGCCTGTTCAGCTCTGAGCTAACCACAGGCTGACCCCCCGCCACACACACCAAGTAACATGTGTTCTACCTCAGGAGCATCTGTTTTCCCACGTCAGGATGTCTCAGGCACGCTTTGCTCATCTCCACCACCAGGAAGGAGGGCAGGAACCAAGGAGCTCATGTTAACAAACAAAGCAGACAGACGTCCAGAGAGGTGATGTGACCTACTCAAAGTCACACAGCAGATGCAGCCCCAGAACCTAGCCTTCCTTTCATTGCCTTCCAAGGGCCACTGTGGCTCATTTCAAATCGAACAGTGGGAGAGGCCACCATGGAGGATCAGAGAGAGACCAAGCTCCACAATGGAAGTCATGTTAGGGAACTGAGCCCTATTCCTGTCCCCCTCCCCAGGGCTGGTGGGGGGCTTGATAGTTATGTGGGGGAATGAGAGAAGGTTGGGCAGCAGAAGAGTCCCTGGGTCTGAATCCCAGCTGTCACCACCAGCGGTGAGCACAGAGTGCCTAATGACTCCAAGATGTTCTGGAACATTCTCTGGGCCCCAGGGAGCTGCCGGGAGCCTGGCTGCTGTGCACAGCAGCTGTGTGAACTGCCTCTCAGCAGCCAAAGGAAGGGGCGGGGCTCCAGCCCCCTCCCTCCCCACAAGCCGGTGGAAAGGAGCCGTGGAGGACCAGAACACTTCTCCCTGCTCCTTCTAGGAGGCCGTGGGACCCCAGCAGGTCTCCGACCAAGAGGGGGACTCCTATCTGTGAACACCCTGCTTCTTCCTATCAGTGCTCAGGCCTTGACGCTAACTAAACACTGTCATTTAGAGCTGTGTGACTTTGAGCAAGTTACTTGACCTCTCTGTGCAGGATGTTTAACCTCTGAGGCAAACACCTACCATATAAGATTCTTATGAGTATTAAATGAGTGAAGGCTCAACCAGGACCCTAAGTAAATAGCGACTCTTGTTTGTATTGTTTCCATCAGTCCCCTACCCTCCTAATCCCCTGTCCCCACACCCCTGTGCCTGGTCTCACTGTCAGTCCACTCTTGGTGGCAGGCACATGACAGGCAAAGCCCAAGTGTGGCCAGTGCATCCAGCACAGAGATGATGAGCTACAGAGTGTCCCTCCTGTAGATCGTGAGAGGAAGAGGGGCCACAGGTGCCATCTCCCCCAGGGCTCTCGTCCCATGCTCCAAAAAAGAATGACACCAAATCCACGGGCCCGGTGGCCTTGATGGGAGACATCACTGCCCAGGGGCCAGGTCTGGACCACAGCTGAGCGGCTTCACAGTCACACAGACCTGGGGGGTGCCAGTGGTCTCCCCTCGGCCTCCAGGGCAGACGGGCGGGCAGTGGAGGTGCCTCCCAATCTCCCCTCCCTGAGCGTCAGGTGCTGCAGCCAGACTCGGTCAACCATGGCCAGGTGTCCACGGTGCAGCCTCTGTGGGGACGCGGAAGCTCACCAGGCGCCTGGGAAGAGCGTCCCCGCCCTGGCTGCTCACCCTGAATGCTCCCTGGGAGCCCCCAATGGTCCTGTGGCCACCACAGCCCCTTACTGCCTGTGGGGAGGGCGTCAGGGGACATGGATTCAGCCAGGAGAGACAGGCACGCAGGCAACTGGGGACCTGCAGGTCATGACTGGCATCTGTTGCGGGGGGGATGAGCAGTGGATTCCTGTGGGACTGAGCCCTCGACCTGCGGGATCTGTCCTGATTCTAGGTAACTGGGTCACCACGGGCTGTAGGACCTGCGGTGGGTGCCGAGAGCTGGGGACGGTGCGGGGAGACCCACGGATCTCATGTCAGAGAGGGAAGAACACAGAAGGACCCCCACGGGCTCCCCAGTCCTCCCGCTAGACTGAGGCCTGGTGGCCCCTGGAGCTGGCCAGGCCACTCCCTGGCTGACCCTGTTCTCCCTCCCTTCCCCACCCAACCCCCAGGGTCTCTTCCAATTAGATGCCACACACCTGTCACCAGTCCCCCGTCTGGCTCTGCGTCCACTTCAGAGGAAGGCCGACCCAAGACAGCGCTCCCCGCTGGGGGGTGGCCGGTCCTCCTTTGCACCACAGGCTAACAGAAAGGTAAATCCGGCCCAAAACACCTAGGTAATTTAATTTTTATAATAAATTTATTTATTTATTGCCATTACATTAAAATATAAGTGTTTAGAAATATACAAATCCACTTTGGGAAGACATTCTCCAGCCATAGGGGAGGAGAACCGATCCCCTTCTCCCATGTGGAGAGTGACAAAGGGGAGGAGAAGGAGGAGTGGCCGGGAGAGGTTGGTGCAGTTGCAGAGGGCTTCCTGGGGGAGGTGCCGGGGAGCAGCACCGTGAGGATGGCTGGGGTGGAACCTATGGTGGGTGAGCCCTCAGGGGTCAGGGAAGCATGGATCCCTCTCCAGGCAGGAGCAAAGGGGAGGAAAGGGCTGCAGGGCGGGGGTCTCCGGTAGGCCCCGCGGTGCTCTCCCTGGCTGGGTGAGGCTGGGCAAGAACTCAGCGTCTCTGAGCTCCCCTCCCCATCCGTCCTTCACCTCAAGACCTGAGAGCAGAGAGCCAGGCCTGGAGGCTGGGACCAGGGCCCTCGCTGCTGTGGGTCCAGTGTACGAGGACCCTGGTGGCCCAGGCTGACACCATCCCCATGCGGACTGCAGCCTGGGAGGTGCCACAGGCCCCCGAGAGGGACACGGTGCCACCTCTGCTCACGCCCAGATCCAGGAAGTCCCCTCTCCTCCACGAGCCCCAGGACCCGCCTCTGCAAAGTGGGATTCGAATCTCAGTCCACCTTCCCCCCAGCGCCCTGGCAGAACCGGAGGGACAAGGGAACAGGTGGGGACGTAGCTTACCAACTGTCAAGTGCTGCCACTTTGCAGAGATTAGGACGAGGCCACGGTGGCTCACATGCAGGAGGAGAGCAGAGGTGTCACTATGGAGCAGGAATTTCTGGACATCCGGGCTGGACGGGATCTAGACAGGGCCCCTCGCTCTAACCCTCCGCCACCCCCGTGTCCCGTTTTATAGACGCTCAAAACAAGGCCCGAGGCAGAGTGAGGCTGAGCTTCAGGCTCTGAGGCCAGCGCCCAGGGCACCCTCCCCGGCCCACGGCCCACAGTGGCTGCCAGGGGCACCGCCTTCCAGGCACCCCCACCCCACTTCCACCGTCCATTCTGTCTGTCCAGGGTCTCCGTCTGTCTGGCTGTGCCTCCGACCCCACTCCACCCACCCACACTCTGCATCCGCCCTGCTTCCTGGTCCCACTGGGGGACTGGGCTCCCAGGTGCTGGTCTGGGGGACTCCGCCCTGGTTCGGCCCTGTGTGCAGGACGCCCCCTCGGTTCACCGGTGTTTCTCGGGCTGTGTCCTGTCTGCCCTTCCCGCTGGGAGCCAGATCACGGGTCCTTTCCCCTGGGTGCCGCAGCTGCTCCCTGGCGGCTCTGACCTCCACACGCGGCAGCCCTGGGTAGATGCCACCAACCATCCCACAAGGTACTCACAGGGACTGAGGGGACCCAGCAGGGGAAAGGGAGCTGTATGTCTGGGAGTAGACGGTTAGCAACTCTTATTCTCACCAAGACGTTCATGAGGGTCACCACCACGACCCTAAGAGAAGGCCTGTCCCCTGCAGTCCCCCAGCCCCACTCTGCAGAGACTATGCCAAGGTCTTTACGGGTGGCTTCTTGCCTGTGCCTCCTGTGGTCATTGCTAGTCCTGTTTTTCAGATGAGGAGATTCAGCTCAGGTACGCTTGCTGGACATCACAAAGCACGTGGGTGACAGGGCCAGGATTCTGTGTGTCTCCAAATCCTCAGCTTTTTGTGGCGGGGGAAGGGGAACTGGAGATTGAACTCAGCGACACTCAACCACTGAGCCACATCCCCAGCCCTATTTTGCATTTTATTTAGAGACAGGGTCTCACTGAGTTACTTAGGGCCTCGCTTTTGCAGAGGCTGGCTTTGAACTTGCGATCCTCCTGCCTCCTGCCTGTGCTGGGATCACAGGTGTGCGCCACTGCGCCTGGCCAGTGCTTTTAATCACTGTGGTATCTAGTCACTCTGCTGATCTCCACGTGTGACCCATGCACCAAATGCTGCAGCAGAGGGGTGACCAGGAGCGACCTCAATCCACAGCCCGGCCAGCTCTACCCACCCTCAGGGGACCAGCAAGCCCTGCACCCTGCTGGCTGCGAGAGCTGCTGTCCCCAAACTCTGATTAGTGAGACCTCAATTTTTTTCAGCCTTTTAGAGGACATTTTGGCACAAGTCAGCAAAAATTTAAAATGTCACACTCTGGCGCAGCTGGTCCCCTTCCTAATCGGACGCTCAGGGGTGTTCATTTGGCACGCACCGTGGGTGCTCGGTACACATGCGGTGCCGTGCTCCTGGTGACCACCGTGGGCGTGACGCTGCTGCTGCACGAGGTCCCTGGGACAGCCCCTGTGCAGGTCAGTGTGGGGAACGGTTCCACGAGCCGTGCATCCGGGGGTGGCAGCAGATAAAGTCAACAGGCTCATTTCCATGAGCTTCGGTGGGCAGGTCTCCAGGACATGTGGCGGGCAGAAGACGGCCACCGAACGCTATGTGAGGTGTGTACACTGTCCCCCCAAACAGAGCCAAATGACACATGTGTGCAGACAGAAGCCAAGAAAACAGGCCGTGGTGACACACCCTGCTGTAAACAGCAGTCCCCAGGGAGAGACTGGGCTTCCCAGTGGAGGGACAGGGGGGGCTCATCACCGTCCCCTCTGTGTCCTGACAGGTGTGTGTTTCCTCAGGAGAAGGTGCGGGTGATCCTCCTGCACTAGTAAAACACAAAGCCTCACCCGCCTGAGGCTGCTCTTGGTGGAGGTAACTTGGTGGCAGGAGGAAGGAGGCTGGGTTTCCACTGGGGCAGCGAGGACATGATCCAGAGACGGTCTGAGCCCTGGGAAGACCCCTGGAGTGTCCCCAGAGAGTCCCCAGAGAGACGTCCCCAGGGCAGCTGCTGGACATCACTGCTGCGGGCGGTAGCGCCTCCCTCCTGACAGGCCCACGGTCCTCCGGGACCTTATCTGCAGGTCCACACGAGTGTCGTGGAGATTATGAGGCCATTTTGATGGATGGGTGACTCAGAATCCCAGCCAACAGGGCAGTCCCTGAGGAAATCGGGGAACCTATAATCCCACCCACGGAAAAGGAAGTGGGTCTCAGGGACAAGGAGGGGACGCAGGACCTGCAACTGGAAAGAAAAGGGAGACCTACGTGGGAAGGAAGGAGCACAGGCCCGGGCCTGGGAAGAGAGCCCTTCAGCCGAGCCGGGCAGAGCCACCAGAGGGACAAGCAGAAGGACTTCCCTCCCAGTGTGGGCTGGATAGAATGCCCCATCCAAGAGAGCCCCTCCTGGCTGCCCAGCTTCAGGGGGCTAAGTAAGCACTGAACCTAGAGCTCAGTGGTAGAGTGCTCACCTAGCATGTGAGAGGTCCTGGGCTCGACCCCCAGCACGTCATTGTCCCACCGGGTGATACTTTTGCAGCAAAATGCATGACTTCACAGCAAGGGGATAAAGAAGTGCAGTAAGTCGTCTCGGGACCCTCCAGCTCAGGCTTTCCCTCAATGAGTTACAGAAAGCCTGGGCTCTCTGAGCTGTGGGGTTTGCCTGTTGTAGATCAGGGGTTGTGGGTGGGCTTTGTGAACCCCTTATATATGCAGGTTATTTTTCTGCTCCCAAAGTACCTGCCGTTGTGCTGGAACCACTCCGGGAAATAAAGCGGGGGGCATTTTTATCACCACTTTATGGATCCAGAAACGGATGCTCAGAGAAGTGATGTGACCTGCCTAAAGTCACACAGCAGCGACTGCCAATGTCAAGACTTAGGTAGGAACCTGGCATCCAAATTTCTTGAGAAGGAAGTGAGCGGCGTGGGGAGGAGGGAGGACCTTCTGTCCCTTCCCCATGTCAAGCCCCAGGCAGCCACTTTGAACTCCCTGGGCCCAGCCCAGCAGCCAAGGGGCCCTGGGTGCCGCCTGTGGCTTCTCCATGGAGCTCCTGCACGCTAGCTCCTGGGGCTGGGCTCCAAGGTCCCCTCTCCCTCTGCAGGTTTCCAAGGATGACAGTAAGGAAACTGTCAGGGAGGAGAGCTTCCCCCGTCCATGTGTTTTCGCTTCAGCGTACAACCAAGCTATTTCCTGGCATCTGGGTTCAATCGCAGGCGGAGGGTGCGCTGGTGGCTGTGGGGGAGGAGGGAGAGGACAAGGCAAGGGCTGGGCTTCCTGGTCCCGCTGCGGATGTGCCCAGAGCTACGACGTGCCCTTGCCCTCGCCCTCCCCGGTCACCGCAGCCAAGTCCAGGAGGACAGCGGCATGGAGCGAGGCCAGCCCATGATGCGGACAGCTGGGTGGCGGGGGTGGGAATAAGTACCGGGGACGCAGAGCTGGGCCAGGTCGGTCTGTGTGGGATGATCGCTGGGGACAGGCTGGTTCTGCAGCAGAGGGCTGGGTCCTGACCTAGCGTCTCCTGGGCAGAGACTCCTCTCAGGAAGGAGTGAACACTACCCATCTGCCTTCGAGCCTCAGGAGAGCTGTGCTTGGGTCTCTCTGGGGACTGGGCAGCTGGTTCAGCAAGACCTGCACTCCCCCTGGGAAACTGCTGCAGGCTCAGAGCTGAGTCTGGGCTACCCCAGAGGGCAGCTGAGCCTATGCCCCAGGTCTGTTCTCTCCCCACCATAGCTGCCCCCCGGGTCCACAGAGCTCGGGGGTAAGGCCAGCTCACTCTGGGAGGCTGTGTCTGTCTTGCTTTACTGTAAAAACTTTGACCCAGTGACCCTGAACCACGGACCTTACCAGACCGTGCACACCTGGCCCTCCTCGTCCTGGAGTGGGCCCCCCAGGCCGTCTAAGGCAGATGGTGTGCGGGCCGCAGGCACAGGCTCAGCTGTACTGACCCGAGATCCAGGCCTGACTCCATCCTGCCCTGCCAAATGACCTTGAAGTCACCTTGGTCACTGGGCCTGGGTTTCAAATGGTGATAGTGTCCATCAGAGGCTTCTGGGAGCTAAATGGAGACTGGACAGCAAGTTCTGTATAGATAGGAGCTGTTACCAGAGAAGCCCAAGCTGCAAGAGCCCCTGGGGTGGGATGGGGCACCCCACCTGCAGCTGCCCCCTTGAGATCGGACAGGGGAGGCAGAACAGGTGAGGGCCCAGGCTTCTCCCACCCCGCCTGCCCCGGCTGCTCTTTGGCTCGGGCCTGTCTCTCTCAGGCCTGGGTTCTCCAGAAAAGTCACACCATGAAATGAGAGCAAGGGAGCAAACTAGTCTCGGAAAAAGTGTCCTCTTCAAAAAGTATGTAGATATACAGAGATATTCAATATGTCTGCATAGGCAAAGTGAAACGTCTAGAAGGAAATAAGCTCCATTTCACAGAAAGTGAACACCCAAGTTTTATTTCATATTCTTTTGTCAGGGTGGATCTTTTCCTCTGTTTGTTCCAGCTTTTAAGATATGTGATAGATAGATAGATAGATAGATAGATAGATAGATAGATAGATAATAGATATTGTTACATGATAGACACAGTTAGGCTAGTAGAGATTATAACTAGATGATAGGGATCTAGATAGATAAGTAAATGGACAGGTAAATGATAGATATAGGTAGATGTAGATAGTATTAGTCAGATTTTTGTTACTATAACAAATAACCTGAACTAACCAATGTATAAAGAGAAAAGGTTCATCTTGGCTTATAGTTTTGGGGATTTCAGTCCCTAATCAGTTGGCCCCATTGTTGTTAGTCCTGTAATAAGGCAAGCATATTTTGGCAGGAACATGTGACTGAGCAAAACCACTCACTCACCCCATGGTCAGAGATCAAAGAGGGAGGGGAAGGGGCTGGGGGTCCCCAATTCCTTCAAGGGCACATCGTAGTAACCTGAAGACCTCCCACTAGGCCCCATCTCCTAAATGTTCCATGCCCTTCCAGTGGCACCACACCAAGACCAAGCCTTTAGCACACAGGTCTTTCAGGGATACTTATCCAACATTAGCCGTTGGATAGATGATAGACAGACAGACAGACAGAATGCAAAGCTTTAGAAAGCATTTGGGGAGCTGGTCATTGACGCTCAACTCACTGACACGATCCAGAAGCCTTGGGCTGGCCTCGGCTTTGGCTTCCGACTGGCTCACCTGCTGGGTGGGTTCTCAGGGCCGACCTGGCCAGAGCCGGCCAAGCTGCCCACCTGGGGTACCATTCCCGGCAGGTTCTGGAAGACACGGGGAGACCTGCACCCTCCCCTGCCCTCTGCCCTCTGCCCTCCGGTGACTCATCTTTTTCAGAGCGCCTGTCTGTGAGGGGGCCTCCTGGGTGCTCGGGTGGGGGGTCATCTCAGTACCAGCAAGACTCGCAGCCACGTGTCACCCTGCGCCTGGGACCACACCCAGAGGAAGGCATCAGAGGCGTCTGCAGGGCCACTCCCCAAGGAGTCATGGGTGTCACTTGGCGCCTGGTGGGAGCCAGAATCCCACCACTGATTGAGGAGCCCAGCTCCCTGACTGGATCAAGGTCCTCTCCTCCCCCAGAGGTGATTTTCCCAGGTAGGACAGGACACAAGAGCCAAGATGAGGAAGGTGACAGTGACTAAGGTGACCCGCGGCTGGGGTGAAGGTTCATCTCAGCCCTCGGGGGCAGCGACCCCTTCAGATTAGTGTCTAGTGAACCGGAAAGAATCTGAGGGACCACAGGGGGACAGGGAGGACCAGAGGGAGGAGCCCCCAGGACAAACGCCCTATGGGCAAAAACTAGACAAGACGAGGGTCCTGGGCAGGTGAGGGCAGAGGGTCCTGGTGTGCAGGAAGGGACTCCCAGAGTGACAAGAAGACCCACCTCCAGTGGCCCAGGACAGGGGGCGCCCAGGCTGGCTGACTGAGCCCCAGAGGGTCCCTGGGTGAATGGGCAGCCCACCCCCTGCAGGGACCTCGGGCACAGCCGGCTGGTGGGGATGGCCAGCACGGAGCTTCCCACCGGCCAGGGCGTCCCGAGAGCCAGCAGCTCACGGCCAAAGCCAGGCACAGGGGAGACTCGGGAAGGAAGAGTCTGATGAGGCGCAAGAAAGAGCCACGGGGCATGGGGGGTGGGGGGCAGAGAGGAAGGGCTAGGAGCATGCCTGAGCCACACAGGGCTACGTCCTCCTGGCTGGGAGGGCCATCTGTGGGCTCCTCCCTGCCACCTCCCAGGCGCAGCGTGAAGCTGGGTGACCTCCCTGCAGGGTCCCTGCTGACTCCCCTCACCCTCTCCTCCAGGACCTGGACGTCCTCCCTTCCCCAGAGGCTCCCAGGCCTCCCTCGCCTTTCCTCCAAGATTTCCCCAGAATTGACCCATTTATTAGTCACCTCTGTGCTCCGTTGTGGGTCTGGCCCAAACCCAGCGCCTTCTGTTTACCTCTTTCTTTGGGAATGTCACTTACTCCCGGCCTTTTCCCCTCAGGGAGGAAACGGGCCCAATGTCCTCCCCCCAATAGCCACCTGAGCCCTCTCTTTGTTAGGTGGAGACCCAGAGCTGCTCCCTGTACACTGGCCCAGAGAGGTCTCACGGTCCCCTCCCAGGGGACAGATAATTATCTGCACTGGGACAGATAATTTCCATGCTCCTGTGTCACAGCCCCAGTCCAGGAGACGCCCACTCAGACCAGAGCCCAGGGAGGGCCCAGCCAGGAGACCCCCTCCCCCAGGCCTGTGGACAGAAGAGGCCAAGACGGGGGAGGGAGGTGACAGAGCCAGGTGGGGCGGGGCCCCGAGAAACAGAGATGTTGTGGTCCAAACTTGCAAATATCAAACAGTGTGGCCAAGGCCGCCTGGCCGCCCGGCTGGCCGCCCTCTCCTCTCCGTGCTGGCCTGCTCTGTGACGCAGCTTCCCACGTTACAAGCCGGTGGGGATTCTGCCTTCCAGAGGCCGCAGCAGCTCTGGCCTCCCTGTGTGTGAGGTGCCTTCGAACCTAGAAATGCAACCCACAGAGCCATGCAATTGTTTCATTGTCACATAAATGTTGGGTCTAAATGTTCTAGAACATTCCATGGCAGCCCTTCTCCCTGACTCCTCCCAGCAGCCACACAGTCCATAAAGGTCCTTGTTCACAGCCTGCTGCTCCTGGACCCCCTGCGCCACCTTGGGGGCTGTCTCTTGACCGTGAAGCCAGCACCTGACTTTGCCCGGAGGAACTTGGATCACACGTGTCCCACTGGGCTGCCACAGTGCCCTGACACGTAACTCGTGCAGCCAAGAGGGGCAGCCGTGCCTGCAGCTGTGGGAAACTGAGGAAGCAGCTCCATGAGCTCTGGTGTTCTGTCCCACGAAGCTGTCCCTGGGGTTGGGGAACTACGGGCCACACTCCTAGTCGCTCTGTGTTCATACTTGGCCACTTATTTTGAATATTACCATTATTACACTGGAAAAATATTTTCCCTTTAAATATACAATTTGGCTTTGGGGAAAAAAATGGTCCTTTCATTACATTTTGGATTCGAAAAATTTTCCTTCCCAAGGAATCCATCTCTAATGGGACAATTAAAATCAATGAAAAATTAGGACTCAATATGCAGACACTGATTTTAAAGCTAATTTCTCTCCTCACAACTGTTATAACCCCCACCCCGCCCCGCACATCCTGGTCACTCTCCAGGGACTTTGGCATTTAGGGCCACTTTACAGCTCGGAAACACAACCATGAGATCTTTCTAGAGAAAGATGCGGGGGCACTTTAGAGCTCATGACTGTAAATGCAGCCAGATCCCCAAGACTTGGACCAAGGGGCCCGGAGCTGTCAACCCAGAGCCAGGAGAGCCCTGGAAGCTCACCCCCCTCTAAACAGACGATTCATCCACTTTTTGGAATATTTTTTCTCTCCTTTAAGTCCTGCAGGGCTGGACACACCACGGGTACCAGTCCTAGAGGTCGGCGGTTGCTCTACGACCTACGGCAACCCCTGCACCCCGCTTCACCCTCATGACTAGGGTGGCCAGATGTGACCAAAGCATAAAAATTAACAGGACGCCCAGATGTATTTTAATTTCAAATAAGCAATAAACAATTAGCATAAGTATACACCATGCATTATTTGGGATATTTGGGAGATTCTTATACTTCAGTCGTTTTTTACTTACTTGTGATGCACCTTTTAAAAATCTGTCCTTTTTAGTCACACGTGACAGTAGAGCGTACTTAGACATCTTAAACGTCCCCGAGTGCAGCTCCCCACTCTTGTGGTTGTGCGTGCTGTGGAGATTCACCGTGTGTTCACATGTGACATGGGAAAGTCGAGTCCCAGTCATTCCTCTCTTTCCCCATACCCCCCTCCCTTCCCTTCATCCCACGTTGTCTAATCCAGGGGACTTCTCTGCCCCCTCCATGGTGTGAGTCAGCATCTGGTCGTCACAGGGAAGACCCCGCCTTTGGTTTGGGGACTGGCCTATTTCACTTAGCATGACGGCGTCCGTCCCGAGGCTCTCGTGACCAGGTGTCTTGAATCTTCTCTGCCAACCCTGCCCTTGACCGTGTCGCAAGCTGTTGCTGACCACAGACCGCGGGCATGTGATCCATGCTGTGAAGCAGGAACTGTCCTCTGTGACTGGCCTCCAGGAGAGGAGGTGTGGAGGAGCTGCCCCCCCCCAGGCTGGAGCAGCCCACTCCAGTTGGGGGGTCAAACAAGTGTGAAGGCCAGGTCCAATGGCTGCTCACCGTCCCCTGTCAGGAGGGGATGGGACAGGGAGCCCCACCCATGAGGGAGACACAGCAGCCAGCGTGGGACAGGAGGCCCTGCCCTCTGCGCTGGTGAGGACGTTCCACGTGGGCTGGCCTTCCCAAGCCCGAGCAGAGGCTGCCAAGGTGGGTCTGGCAGAAAGGGCTGGGGCTGGACTCCAAGTGAGGCGGGAAAGGACGCAGAGGTGGGGGAGAAGGGGCGGGGAGGGAGCCGAGCCCACCCTTGGGCGG